TAAATGTTCATTTATTTTAAACTCACATTAAAAGAGTTCTTACAGTTAAGGCTCTCAGAATGCCACATGGGTCTGTCAGGTAGAAAAGCTGCCAAGAAAGGGCGGACTGAGGGCTTGAAAAAAGGGGTCAATGCCGCCTGCCGATTAACAATCTCGATAATGGACGTGTTCAGCGGCTTTACTGAGGCTGACATTACTCAAAATGGAGCGCGTTTGTTGCAAATGCTGATATACGCCAAAGGCTAACACACGCTGCACTGCAGCGACTAAATCTCGTCCTTTCATCGCCATGACCTTGTCCATGATCTTAGGACAAGCTAGTTCGAAAAAGGTCATATCTTCCGAGACTTCTACGGTTTTTCTCGTTTTCCTAGCCATTGAAGAACTTTCTGCACCGATTATATAATATTTACCCTAAAACCCGAAGAAGCACAAAATCATAACAAGCTGCGCTTTCCGTCAAGGTCGAATGATGGGCCATCTTTGAAGGTTCGATTAGCCCTGTCGAATCCAATCTCGATGCTTTAACGCAATCATTTTTCAAAAGCTTGGATTTCTACGTCAAAGCTGTCGTTTGTTGTAGGCCTAGTGTCAAGTGCACTTGAGGTCCTATCAACGTCCGTCTGTTGATGACAGATCGCCAAGCTGAGCACCCATTTAGGGGGAATGCCATCCACCGTCGAACGGCTGCAATTTCTTGGAACGGATTGCGTTTGGAATTCAGAATTTAAGAGGTAATTTTGCATCCTGATGTAAGAAATGAAAACCGATGAAATGGTTGGCACCAAGGGGACACCAAGCTTTGCCGAGCACTCCATTTTTTTCGATCCTCATTCAAAATAATACGAAAGATTGAAAGTAAAAACCATTAAACGCAAAAGATCAAAAGTAAAAGTGCAAGAGAATGAGTATGAGAGCTGAGAGTATGTGCTATACTCAATAGCATATAAACTTGTTCACTGAAATTGTTTAATGGCACAGTTCACGATAATTTTGGGTAAGCCAGATTATGACGAAAAATGGAAGATAAGACGGAAAATAGTGCGAT